AATAATTAGGTAAGGGATACATAAAATAAAAATATGTCAAAGATGTCAAAAACATAAAACACTGAGTAGGGAGTAAAAATGTAGTGCTTTTAGAATGTAGTCAAATTTAAATGATTATCAACTTAAAGTAGGCTGCTATATAAATAGGTAATTATATACAAACTTCATGATAACCATAAACCAAAAACTTATAATAGATACACAAAAAATAATTAGAAAGGAACCTAAACATAACACTAAAAAACGCCATCAAACCACAAGGGAAGAGAGCAAGAGAAGAAAGGAACAGAGAAAAGCTACAAAACAATCAGAAAACAATTAACAAAATGGCAATAAGTATATGCCTATCAATAATTAATTTAAATGTAAATAGACTAAGTTCTCCAATCAAAAGACGTAGTGTGTCTGAATGAATAAAAAAAAATATATGACCCATCCATACAATGCCTACCAGAGACTCACTTCAGAGCTAAAGACACACAAACTGAAAGTGAAGGGATGGAAAAAGAAATTCCATGCAAATGGAAATGAAAAGAAGGCTTAATATCAAGCAAAATAGACTTTAAAACAAAGACTGTAGCAAAAGTCAAAGAAAGGATTACATAATGATAAAGGGGTGAATCCAACAGGAGGATATAACATTTGTAAATATTTATGTACCCCAAATAGGAGCAGCTAAATATATAAAACAATATTGACAGATATAAAGGGAGAAATTGACAGCAATATAATCATAGTAGGGGATTTTAATACCCCACTTACATCAGTGGATATTTCATCCAGACAAAAAAAAAAAAAAATCAATAAGAAAATACCAGCCTTAAATGACATATTAGACCAGGTGGACTTAATAGATATTTACATAAGATTCCACCAAAAAAACACAAAATATACATTCTCCAAGTGCACGTAGACATTCTTCAGGGTAGATCACATGTTAGGCCACAAAACAAGTCTCAACAAATTTAAGAAGACTGAAGTTATATCAAGCATCTTTTCCAATCACAATAGCAGGAAACTAGAAATCAATTAAAGAAGAAAAATGAGAAAAACATGAACACATGAAGCCTAAATAACCAATGGGTCAATGAAGAAATTAAATGTAAAACCAAAAAATATCTTGAGCCAAATAAAAATGGAAACACAACAGTCCAAAATTTATGGGATACAGCAAAGATAGTTCTAAGAGGAAAGTTCATAGCAATATTAGCCTACCTCAAGGAATAAACAAAAAAAATCTTGAATAAACAATCTAAATTTACACTTAAAGGAACTAGAAAAAAATGCCAAGGTTAGTAGAAGGAAGGAAATAATAAAGGTTAGTAGAAGGAAGGAAATAATAAAGATCAGAGTGGAAATAAATGAAACAGAGACAAAACAAACAAACAAATAGAAAAGGTTAATGAAACTAAGAGCTTGTTCTTTGAGAAGATAAAGTTGACACACATTTAGCCAGACTTATCAAGAAAAAAAAAAAAAGAGGGCCCAAATAAAATAAAAAATGAAAGAGAAGTTATAACTGATACCACAGGAATACAAAGAATCATAAGATACTACTTTGAACAAATTATACACCAAAAAAATTGGGCAACCTAGAAAAACTGGGTACATTCCTAGAAACAGTCCTCTGAGACTTAATTATGAAGAAATAGAAAATCTAAATAGACCAATTATTAATAAGGAGATTGAATCAGTAATCAAAAAACTTCCAACAAACAAAAGTCCAGGACCAGATAGCTGGTGAATTCTACCAAACATTCAAAGAAGAATTAACACTATCCTTCTCAAATGATTCCAAAGTAATTGAAGAGAAGGGAACATTTCCAAACTCATTTTACCAGGTCAGTACTACCCTGATATCAAAACCAGGCAAAGATGCCACACCCACACACAAAATACTATAGGCCAATATCCTTGATGAACGTAGATGCAAAAAATCATCAATAAGATATTAGCAAATCAATTCAACAATACATTTAAAAATTATACACCATGACCAAGTGGGATTTATTCCAGGGATGCAAGGATGGTCCAACTTCTACAAATCAATCTATGTGATACACCACATTAACAAAATGAAGGATGATGATCATATGATCATTGTAATACATGCAGAAAAGCATTTGACAAAATTCAACATCCATTTATGACAAAACTCCCAACAATATAGGTACAGAGGAAACATATCTCAACATAATAAAGGCTATATATGACAAACCCACAGCTATCATACTCAACAGTAAAAAGCTAAAAGTTTTTCCCAAGATCAGGAACAAGACAAGAATGCCCACTCTTGCCCCTTTTATTCAACACAGTCTTGGAAGTTCAGCTGCAGCAATTAGGCAAGAAAAAGAAATAAAGGCATCCAAATTGGTAAGGAAGAAGTAAAACTGTCCCTATTTGCAGGTGACATGGTACTATATATTAAAAAACTTTAGAGACTCAAAAAAAAAACCCTATTAGAACTACTAAATTAATTCAGGAAAGTTGCAGGATACAAAACTATATAGAAGGCCGCTGCATTTTTATACACTAATAATTAACTACCAGAAAAAGAATTAATAAGACAATCCCATTCATAATTGTATCAAAAAGAATAAATTCCCTAGAAATATATTTAACCAAGGAGGTGAAAACCTGTACTCTGAGAACTGTAAGACACTGATGAAAGAAATCAAACAAGCCACAAAGAAATGAAAAGATATTCCATGCTTATGATTGGAAGGATTAACAATGTAATCCCTATCAAAATACCAATGGCATTTTTCACACAACCACAATACTACAATTTGCATGGAACCACACACACACACACACACACATACACACACACACACAAAACCCTGAATAACCAAAGCAAGCTTCAGAAAGAACAAAGCTGGAGGTATCACACTCCCTGATTTTAAACAATACTACAAAACTATGGTAATCAAAACAGTATGATACTTGCACAAAAATAGACACATCAGTCAACAGACCAGATTAGACAGCCCAGAAATAAACCCACACATATACAATCAATTAATCTACAATAAAGGAGGAAAGACTATACAATGGGGAACAGACAGTGTCTTCAACAAATGGTGTTGGGAAAACTGGACAGCCACATGCAAAAGAATGAAATTGAATCACTTTCTTATACCATACACAAAAATAAACTCAAAATGGATTTGACTTGAATGTAGGACTTGAAATCATAAAACTCCTAGGAGAAAACATAGGCAGTAAGCTCCTTGATATCAGTCTTAGTGATATTTTTCTGAAACTGATTCTACAGGCAAGGGCAAGAAAAGCAAAAATAAACAAATGGGACCATATCACACTAAAAATCTTTTGCATAGCAAAAGAACTATCAACAAAAAAAGGCAACCTAGAGAATGGAAGAAAATATTTGCCAATCATATATCTGATAAGGGACTAATATCCAAAATATATAAAGACCTCATATAACTCAATAGCAAAAAAAAAAAAAAAATTAAAAAGCCAATTAAAAGTGGGCATAAGATCTGAATAGACATTTTTCTAAAGAAGACATACAGATGGCCAAACTGAAAAGATGCTCAACATCAGTAATCATCAGGGAAATGCAAATCAAAACCATAATGATGTATCACAGCACACCTGTCAGAATAGCTATTATCAAAAAAATAAATAACAAGTGTAACGAGGATGTGGAGGAAAGGGAACCCTGGTGCACTCTTGGTGGGAATGTGAACTGGTACAGTCATTATGGAAAATAGTATGGAGTTTCCTCAAAAAATTAAAAATAGAACCACCGGATGATCCTACAATTCCAATTCTGGGTATATCCAAAGGAAACGAAAACTAACTCAAAAAGATATATACACTCCCATGTTCATTGCAGTATTATTGACAATCGCCAAGATATGAAAGCAACAGAAGTGTCCATCAGTAGATGAATGGATTAAGAAGATGTGGTATATACACAATGGAACATTACTCAACCATAAAAAAGGATGAGATTTTGCCATTTGTGACAACATGGATGGGCCTGGAGGGTATTGTGTTAGGTGAAATAAGTCACACAGAGAAAGACAAATACTATGTGATTTCACTTATATGTGGAATCTAAAAAACAAAACACATGAACAAATAATACAAAACCAGACTCAGAGATACAGTGATCAGACCCATGGTGGCCAGAGAAGAGGGGTTTGAAAAGGGGTAGGCAAAATAGGTGAAATATTGTATTAATTTTGTATGGTGATGGGTGGGAACTAGACTTATTATGGTGATTATATTGTAATTTATATAAATCTTGAATCACTATGTTCCAAATAAAATTTTAAAAAATGGTCACCCCAACCCATCCCCTCATGACTAATAGAACCTTATAGTATAATATGGTCTAATAGAATATAGTATCATATATCATATAAATTATCATGGTCTTTATAAGATGGTAATGTTTTTCAACAATCACACTGTTGCCTAATTTTCAATAATTACATTATTTCTTTTTCTCTGATAACAAAGCCAATGCATGATTATTATAGAATGTTCAGAAAAGCACAAAGAAGAAAAATTGAAAATCACTCACTTTTTCGCTATACAGAGATAATCACTGTTAAGGTTTTGGTGACTCTTCTTCCTCAAGCATATAGAATATATTCTTTTTAATATAAAATTGAGATCTTATGATATATTCTACTTTCTAAGTGGCTCTTTGCATTGAACAATATTTCCATTGTATGTTCTATAACACAATTCTATGGCTGTATATCATTCTATTGCATGGATGTCCCGACACTCACTAACCAACCCCCTTATGTCGGACATTTGTAAAAGCACAAGCAATGCTCACCTCGCCATCTCCCCCACTAACTCTTTCCCTTAGGATAAACTCCTGGAAGTGAAATGGCTGGGTCAAAAGATAAAGTTTTTGGTACTTATTGTCAAATTGTCTTTCTCAAGTTTCATAACATTACAGCGTGCACCCTCACGAGAGTGTACGAGTGTTCATTTCCCCAGACACTTACCATCAGCCAGTGGTGGTTTCTTCTTGGCTCTTTCATTTTAAACGCAACGGGCCATGTTTAACACAGTGATTTCATCTTTGGAATTCATCACCATCCTGGGTAGCCTACAGATACACAAAAGACAGCCCTTCTGAAATGACCAGGGAAATGAATGACATATCTCAGTGTGAGTCGAATGCTGAATTAGGTTTTGCAAACTAAATGATAGAACAAAACTCTTTTGCTGACACATTAGGGATTAAAATTCTGAGCATGACCTTGTCCGTATAGTTAAAATGACTGATTAGTCAGTGACAATGTCCCAAATGCTTGTCATTCTTTCCACTCAGTGTCTAGTTGGCTCTATACTCTAGAGGGTTGTGTTTTCAAATACTACTCCGAGCTTTATTCTCCCACCATTTCATGTCTCCTAGTTCTTATCTGGGGTCCTTGCTGCTTTGTGTGACCTCCCTGAGCTGGGGAAGAAGATAGAGGTGCCATCTAAGCCCTCCTGGGGACAGCGGTGTTGAGATCCTGCCATCCATCCTGGTGCAGTGTCCATCTGGGCATGCGTGCACCACCTCCATAACACTGACTCAGGCCTAGGGAACAGCCATGGTATTTGATGCAGGAAAATACCAGTGACTCATCTTCCTCTGGGAGGCCAACCAAGATTGTGGCCCTTTCCTAAGGTGAAGGTGCCTCATTTGAAATTCACCAAAAATCCCCAATGTCTCAAACAGTTCCTTCCGTCTGAAAAGCTGCATAAGATTTGTCACATTTGGCTATTCACATTCGGCCATAGCAAGTTCCAGCTCTGGAATGTAATCATCATATTGAACAACTAATTTCTAAATTGGGCTTGTGACCAAGGCTGTTTTATAGGAATATTAATTGCTTAAAGTTTGCAGCCAGAAAATACATGACAGTCTAGATTTTATGGCTGGTTCTAGATAATGGTGACACATTTCTGAGAAATGTATCTGCTTCCTAACTCCATAAATTGGATGCTGTTTATAATAATGCAGCTAGAGCAGAAGCACTTCATCATAAGAGCTGTTGTCCCCATGGAAATCATTATTCAGTGTATACTTGCTAAACTGGTCATCAGTCACAGGCAGAAGGGAAACTGATGTGGCCTGTTCTATTTACAGGAGAATGGGCAATATGTCATCTTCTTATTGGACTGATGTTCATCCTACCAGAAGAACTACGTTGCCTCCTGCGTGTTGCTCAGAGAATTTTGTTAAAGTCATTAGTCTTTCAGGCTTTAACGCCCAGGGCATAAGAACCATTCCTGATTGCAGACTTATTTTCAGAGGAGAACCTAGGAAAGAGATTTCCAGATACAAATTTAATCTTGTACTTCCCGAATGGAAAGACAAAGAGGAAATGATGAATGGCACTGAGGACCTCTGTTCTTCAAAGCTGGCCAGGTCATGATAGGCGAGTCACAGTGACTTCATGAGCCATTAAATAGAGGAAGATGATGGTCAACTATGAACCAGGAGAGCATGTACAGCTGGGGCTAGGCCTTCCATCCTCGTGGACATGTGTTCCCCACAAGGAACATGGTCACCTCTCCCTGGAGATTAAAATCCTTCTCAATGGAGAACAAGGCGTCACTGCAGGGGACAGTCATGCTGTGGACACCACACTGTCCTGCCCAGTCCTGCAAGCTCTTGGTCGACAACCTTGGGTGACAGCCCTGTTTGCCCCGGAGGGAAGGCTGCCCTGGGCCCTGGCTGCTGGTCCGTTCGCCACGTGTCCTCTGAATGGTGGTCAGGCTGGGTGTGGGCTGTGAGCTGTCCTACTCACAAGGTCTCGGGCTCCTCTGGGACCACTGAGACTCTCTCCAGCTTCTAGCACTTTCCAAGTTTCTAGTAATCTAACTTGCAGGCCTCACAGCAGCCTTCAGTTTTTCAGCCTCTCCTGACTCACTGGAGGAAGCCATATTGAATTAATCTACAAGGATGTATTGCAACCCAGCTGCATGCCCGCCACCTCACTGTTGGAGGAGGTGGTGCAAGAGAGAGAACCGCCACCCCATTTAGACAGTCCTTCTATGTTTCCAAATGCTTTTACAAAAATTGTCTTGAGCTGACACGACCAGTGGTAGAGTGTGAGCTCCCGAGTCCCAGCTGCGCCCCTGTGTGCCCTTGGTGGCCTCCTTGGGGCTGCAAGCATCACTTTCTCGTCTGCAAAGCAGGGCCCATCCTAGTGGCCAAGCAGTTGGTTTCCAAGAAGATCAAGGGAGATAATCCATGAGAAGTGTTCATTCAATGCTGGCTGTCATCCTCAGGAAAAGAGACGCTCTGGGGGTAGGGGTAGAGAGCAGAACAGAAACAGCATTTACAGTTTTCATGTCGTCACACACACCAGCTCAGGTGATTTGCTCACAACCTTTCTCCTTTACAGGCGAGGGGACTGAAGGCCGGGCAGTGTTTCTCACTTTTTGGCGTTATTGGCATCTGGGGCCAGAGAATCTTCTGCTGGAGGGCCTGCCCTGTGTGGTGTAGGACGTTTAGCAGCATCCCCGGCCTTGACGCCAGAAGCGCCATCCCACTCGTGACGACCAAAAAAGTCTCCAAACATGGCAAAATTGCTCCCCTCCCTGCCCCAGTTGGGAGCCACTGAGGTGGGGTAATTTGTCAGAGGGCTAAAGAGGAACCTGGAGCCAGGACCAGAGCCCAGGAGCTGAAGCCTGCAGGGGACCTGTCCTCTGTCACCACAGTATCTCTCCTCAAAGGATTTATTACAGAGTCACAGAGATAAAAACACCGGCAAATTCTGCCTGATACTCAAGTGCCACAGGAGTTGAGAAAAGGGGGCATTCGAGATGGGGTTCCAATTAGACAAGGACAGATGAGTGAAGGAGATGGAATATGGCCCGGGTGCTACAGGCTGGAGGAAAGACTGGATGGAGGGAAGACCAGGTGGGTGTGGCTGCTGAGAGAACGAAAGGTAAAGGCTGGGGTTAGGGGGACCACATGGGGTGCCAGGAGGACAGAGGGGCCCACTGTGCGGAAGGGCGTGGGGGAGAGGACTCAGGCCTCAGGGAGCCATCAAGGAGCTTGGACCTAATGCCGAAATAGGGCTTGGCAAGGTGGTCCCTGCAGGGTGGGGGATTAGAGGAGTGTGCCCACAGCCTAATGTGAGGATATCTGAGATGGGACAGAAGGGTCCCTGTGATCTGGAAGAGGGGCCTTCCCTGGCTACCAGCAGCGGTTCTGACAACCAGCCTGTCAGAGCAGACCACGAACAAGCTGCATCATGGGAGAAAGGTGCTGTGTATTCAAACCTCCGAGAGGACTACGTGGGCAGTGGGCCACCTGCCTGCCCAGCACAGACCCAGGCCAGGCTACAGCTCTGAGCCTCACTGTGCTCAGAAATTGTGGCAGATGACCTCCCCTTAAGACTGGCCAGTTACCACAGAAGCCATTGTCCTTGTCCGCCCGCCTTCCAAAGACAAGCGAAAGGTCTTTGCTTAGGCCTCTTCCTGGTTCTGAGGGGGAGGTGACAGAGGTGTTTGCTCTAACCGCCATCTGGGGAGTCAGGATTTCCTGAGGCAAGGGGCAAATGCTTCACACTCCTACTCTTCAGGAAATCCGCCCCGAGAGGCAATGAAAAAAAAAAAAAAGCACTTTGGGTCATTGGTCTATTTTTATTCTATGTGGCCTGACTTGATGCTCATCTGCCTGTACCTCATTCTACCTGTGAAAATTTCAACATGCTGTGTGTTCAGGAAGACGTTCTGAGAACTTGTAGCTTACAAATTCTGGGGGACTGTCAACAGAGTTCAGACGGTGCTAACGGGTGGTTGGCATGGGAGGTACCAGATGGGACAACTTCTGAGAACAGTTGGTGACTGGCCTAGTGGGCTGTAGGAGGACGGGCCTTTTTCATTTTTCGGTATTTCAGTGACCAGACCTTTCTCCCACATAGCAACAAACCACCCACTGAGTCATTCATAGAGTTGTTCACACATTTATTCAGAAATACTTACCGTTGCTATGCGCTATGCTGTGTTCAACATGGGATCTCAGGGAGATCTCTGGGTGAAGAAGCAAACAGCACCCTAACCTAACGCGATAAAGCTCATCGGAGCTTGAGGGGGGTTGTGCCACGTGCCATGCAGGACCACACGGCTAAGGACGCATCTAAACCGTGTGCGTGGAAGTGGCCGACAAACACAAAATGTGGCTTAACTCAGCCTAGGGGAGCGGGTGTTACCAAACGAAGTACGACCAGCGGGACAACTTCTTTCTTTCCTATTATCCTTGTCTTACGGTGCTAAGAAAAATGCCTGTCATCTTGCCGGGTTTCCTTCTGTAGTACAGAAGGGGCCTCTCGCTGGGTGCCGTGGAGGCTGGCTGCCGGCAGGGGGCGCCTCAGGCCCGTCGGGGGAGCCGGCTGCTCGCAGGGAGCGAAGGGCCTGTTTGTGCTGAGCGAGCCCAGAACAAGCTGGAGGATGAAGTTGATCAGAACACCCTTTGGCTCGGTCCCCACTTGCTGGACTGACGGAGCCTGAAGTCCACGATGAAGTCACATACGATGGAAAGTGCCTGGCGATGAACAGAGATTACAAAACCAGAGGAAGGAAGCTGCAGACGGGAGGGGCCCACGGAGACCAGGAAGCCCTGCTTTTGCTTAGAGCCAGCATCTGAGCCGGTGCCAAAGGCCCACGGAGCTCTCGTTGGCCTTTGGAAGCTCTGACCTGGCTCTTCTCTTCGTATCGGGTTGACGCTGGTCATCCTGAAGCTGGAAGGGTCTCTGGAGGACAGGAGGGCGAAGAATCCCAGGAGCAGTGGCCGGGCAGGCTGGCAGTCACCTGGCTAACTGATGACCCACTGAAGACGGGAGCGGGAGCCATTTGGCGCACAGAAGGGGGACCGTGCAGGCAGGGTTGAGATCCCTTCTCTAGGGAGCGGTGCCTTCCAAAGGCTGAGATGTGACAGCTTAGGAAAATTCAATGTGACTGCAGGGCTGTGCCTGTGTTACTTGGCCCCAGCAGGGGGCCTGCGGCTTCTGCTGCCCTTGGGTCTAGAGGCGGCGCCCAGAGGGACAGCAGGACAAGAAAATGCTGTGACAGACTCGCATTCAGGAAGGTGCTTGCTCCCCGCTCCCCCGCCCCGCTCACCAAACAGTAAAGCAGCCCCTTATCTCTGTCTCTCTCTCTGCTCCAGACAGAGGCCATTCAGACGGGGTTTCTGTTCCCTCCCAGGAGGGGCTGGGAGCCTGCAGCCTCCTTGGTGGGTATGGGGAGCGTGCGCAGAGCTGGGATGGCTTGGAGCGGGCTTGGTGCCCGTTACAGGCCACATGGGACCCCCCAGCCCTCTTGCTGCCCCTTCCCGAGCCCAGCCCACCGGCCGGGCCACGAAGCCCTGGCTGTCTGCACTCACAGCGTTCTCAGGTCTGGCTTTACCAGGAGGCCCCAGAGCTACCAGGGAGCACAAAACGGCTGCCGTCCCCAGCCCTTCCCCACCCCTGAGGGATGGCGCTGGAGTCACTGCAGCCTGGGCCCTTTTGCCGGGGATATTATGTAGATAATAATCATTTATTCACCAGTCATAACAACGATCCGTGGCCCATGAGGACACAGAGCTGAGCTGATGAGCGGCAGGCCTAATCAGCAATTCAGTATTCTCTAGCTTTCCTTTCTATTAATGATCTGGGTGTTTTTCCTGCAGGGTGCTGAGCCCAGGAATGGGACTGTGGGGGTGCGGTCAGTCTGGCCGGCCCTCCGCCTTCCTGGGTGCCCCCTTCCCAGTGCGGGGGTGGGGGTGGGGGGAGCGGCTCCCAACCCCGCAGCTCAGAAGCAGCCCCTCCAGCAGAAGCCCAGTCGGGTGTCTTCCACCTCATCCCCATACCTGCCTGAGCTGCTCTCCGCCCACCTGCTTCACCACCATCCAGGTCTTTTAAACAAAGCTGCACTGTCTTCTAGGGTGTTTGTAAGTAAATGAGAGTCAGGTCTAAGGGAAAGACTATTAGCTATGTTTGTGTCCTTTCCTTATTTACTTTTTAAAAGACTGCTTCACCATTTGCTGTCTGGGCCGCCCAGGGCCTAATGGTAAAGGAGATAAACTATGGCCACAGTCCTCCTCTTTTCTCCTTTCTTTCCTCCTGCTTGTCAGCACCCCAAAGAGCCCTTGTCCTACAGGAAACTGGCCCACAAACTCGATACTGCACCTGTCCTGGGAGAATTTGCACTTCACAGGCTATGAGATCGCCCAGCACCGACAAATGCTACCGATACTTCTGGATTGGAGAGCAGTGTGGCACTGTTTCCCGGTCCCTCACATCACAGCATTTGGAATATTCTGGAGGCCTCTGTCGTGGGCCCACTGGCAATGTCTGCCCACCTCCTTCTGTCTGAGCTGCTCTCCCTCCCTTCACCTCCCTGGCCTGCAGCCCGAAGAGGGGGCATCCACTGCGTTCACCTCAGTCCTGGTCTCCAGACTTGCCTTCCCACACATGTGGGTACTGAAACGCTAAGACGCCAGGTCACAGTTTCGGAAAGGCCCCATGTTGAGAGAACACTCCCTCCCCCCGACTCTGCAAGGCCAGTATGGAGGCTTCTGGGTTCTCTCAGTGCTGGGCACCTCCCCCACTGCCCTGGGCCTTGGAGGGATGTTGGAGGGTCTTCTGAGCAGTCCCGCCCCACCAATGTGCTTACTGAAAACAGAGGCGTCGGATTTGCTGGCCTGAGGCAGGGATCCACCAGGGAGAGTTGGGGTGCTTGGGAAAGGAGCAGCCATGGTCGAGGGGGGCCAACGTGCACTGGCTATGTGCAGACTAGGCCGCTGAGCTCTGAACGTTTGCAACTCATGGGAAAATTCCAGCGCTATTTACCCACCAGCCACTAGACCGTGGACCAACATGTACGTACCAATGGTGATCTTTGCGGGGAAGTTTCTGCATTAGCATGAGATGCAGAAGAGCTTCAGCAGGCAGCAGGAGCTCCCACGAACCGGATGAGGTGGTGCCTGGCACTGGATGAGGAGTCCTTACTCAGGTGCTCCCCGCGGCCACGCAAACTACAGGGGCTGCAACTGTTCAGCCCGGGGGGAAGCCGATGAACCGGTCAGAGTGGGGATTGCCTTCCACCTCGTTACCTCACTGAAGTTTAGCTTCCGCTGACGGTCTCACTCCCGGCAGGCTCCTGGGGGTGAGCTCCGAGCAGTTGTGAAGAGGGGATGGGAGAAGCATTAAGCCAATTGTGAGCGCCTGCGAGAAGCTGCCTACCATTTTCCATTTTTTTCTGGCACCCCACCACCAGCCCAGGCACCACTGCCTCTCGTGACTCTTCCTTGGGGGTCCAGTTGAAGGGGGGCACTTGGCTCGGAGACTGCCAGCACCCCTCCTGAGAGGGGGGATTTTGCTTCTGTGGTCCAACATTCCCACACCTATTCAATCGGTGCAGGGATGGATGATGAGGATCAATGTTATTTCAGGTCTTATTTTCCAAAGGCTACAGGCTAAAGGTACAGCGTGGGGCAGGAACACGGAGACCTCAGCATACCTGCGAGGAACAATAAACAAATGGCCTTCCAGAACATATTTTCCTTTCTCTCTGGGCTCCTCTGTTGGCCGTGTGAAGCGAAACGAGAAACAACCTTCTGCGGCTCGAATCGGCCTGTTTGCCCACACACGCTCCCTTCTTCCCTAAAAGTCAGAAAAGAAAGTCCAAAAAAATGTGCGAAAATTAGTGCTTTGGGTTCAGGAAATCCCACCTCCTGGAACCAGTGGGTTAATATGGGTCCACTGATAAATTCTGGCTGTTTCAGCGTGTGCTCTGAGATACATGCTCCACATTCCAGCTGGAGGCCAGGCAATCAGGGCTGGAATGGGTAAAAAGGATCCTCTCTTGAGCTGTTTAATTTTTGTTCCTGCTTCCCAGGGGGCCTCTGTGAAAATTTCAACTCCTTGCCTCAGCTTGGACGGGCTCGGGTAAAGTTACTTTCCAAAGAAGCCAGGAAGAACATTTCGTGTGAAGAAGGTGTGGGGCAGATGGAGTTGGCCGGCACTTGACAGAGAACGAGGTTCCACTCTGCGCTGGGCCCGAACGAGTCCCAGCTGCGCTGCTTCAGGCCCGCTGGCTGCCTCCCGCCCACTCGGGGGACAGAGCTTCCCCCCCTTCCCCCGAGCGGGACATCCGGGATCCAGGCGGGAGGACAGGTGGGTCACGGCCAGAGGCAGGCTCTGCACCAGGGGGCCCAGCCTCGTCCTGAGAGCCTGTGTAGCTCCTCAAAACCGAGCAGCATTAGCACATGATGGAGGAAAGCAAGCGTCCAGTCAGAAGAGGAGAAGCCACGGAGCCTCAGAAAGTGCTGAGAACCCTCCAGCCTTCAGGTTCAAGTCATTAACTTCTCCGTCTCCTTGGCCAGAATGAGCGCGAGAGTCTTGGAGTTCTTAAAAGGAGGGGCAAATGAGATTTCCAGGCCAGCGTGGGCCTTAAGTACTCTCTGTTTCCCCTTAGGTTAAGAAGTTCGAGTGGAAGATCTGAAGGCCCCTTTCAGGGCGGGTCTGTCTAAGAGCGGCTCAATTTGGCAGGGATGCATTTTACGAACAAGCAGCTTTCTCCAAGACGCTCTAACACATGACGACTTCCCCTTGGGTAGTACTCGGCACACGGGTGTCCCCAGAAACGAAAGCGTTGGACACCAACGAATCCAGTGAACACTATTTGTAATGTTAGTACACAGACAAGCAAGTGTGTGCTCAGAACTGAGGGAATTTTGTCTGAACAATTTCTAAGCTGTGCCTCATAAATCATCACTCTGCAAAGACTCAACAAAACAGTTCATCATTCACCCATAAAAATTTCTAAGCAGGATCCCTGGGTGGCTCAGTTGGTTAAGCATCCGACTCTTGATTTTGGCTCAGGTCAGGATCTCGGGGTCCTGGGATCTTGCCCTGCATCAGTGTCCATGCTCAGCAGGGAGTCTGCTTAAGATTCTCTCTCTCCCTCTGCCCCTCCCCCTGCTCACACACTCATGCTTTCTCTAAATAAAAAAATAAAATCTTAAAATAAATTTCTAAGCAATGCCCTGTAAATAATCGCTATCTCAAATATTCACAAACCTGAATCTCTTGGAGGTCTCAGCTGGTCACTCAGAGGCAATAGTTTAGCACGAAGGTCTAAGGGTTTCCAACCGAATCCACTTCACTGAGGAGGTAAGCAAGAAGAAGCAAGCCCCTGCTCCGGGTTCCCCACCCCAAGTTAGCATGGATGGATCCAGGTAATCAAACCCACCTGTTGCTTCATCACTGACTTGAAACAGTGATGGGCTGGAGGATTACAACCTGAGGTTGGTTGCTCTCTGGCCTTTAAGAGAGGACCAAGTATCTCACCTACGATGTAGCTGCTCCCTGAAAAAAACATACAGTTCTTTGACGGCTGATCTTGGCTGTACAGGGAAGATTTTAGAACTCCAGGGACGAATTTCCTAAGCATAGCCCTGTGATGCAGAGTACAATTGCAATCATGTCTTCATTTCCTGCCGTCCTGGAGTTGACAATCTAGCAGGGGGACGCATTGCTCACTGTAAGCAGGTTGCCACTAACCGACTCCAAGGGAAATGGGGAAGAGATCAGATTGTTACTTGGCTGAGGGCAGAGCAATCCCATTGTTCAGAGATTGGATCATGAACCATAGTGGGAAAATAGCTAGCTAAATTATTACGTGAGGTTACCGGAAATGAAGTGCCCACTGAAGGCAGGGCTTGCGGGACGGGGCTGGATCTGTCCTAGAATGGCGTTTGGGGCATGACGGATGCAAGGATTATGGGGCGAGGTGTCTGGCTATGATGGAACTGGACAGCTAGAGAGGAAAGCAAAGTCAAATCACTAGTTTTGCCTCTTGAGGCATGGACTGCAACCCCCGGGCTTCATTCTTGAGGGAGTGAGGCACAGAGCTGAGGCCACTGAGAAACAGCTGTGGGAGTGGCAGTTCTGTGACTCCAGGGTGACGAGGACAGGGCCCCATGTGGTGGCAAGTCAGCAGCAGCAATGGGACCGAGTCCCACAGGGTCACCTTGCTACCCATCCCCCATCCTGGCTCCTGCCATTTCCAGAGTCCACAGATTTCCACACATTCTGTCAGCTACCTACCATCTTTCCACGAAATTCCTTTTCTGTAGAAACTCCCCAGGGTCTGTTTCTGTGCTTAAAAACCCAGTACAGACACTGGATAGTCCATTAAATGCTACAAACATTTCAAAAGACTTGAGGGCAGGCAGCAACTGGCCCCCCTCATAGGGGCGAGGGAGGAAAACATGCTATCATCTGCCGTAGGCTTTATGCTGCAGCCCACCTATCTCCAGGGCTGGGCTCAAATCAGGCCAGAAGTTCCATTACACATCTCCTGCGGGCCCAAGCATACCTCTCTCCAAGTGCCATATATTCCACTGAGTAAAAAAGATTTACATGCATGAAACTGGAACCGCCGTCCGTCACCACATAACCAAACAAGAGGCGCCAGGTGGTGGGTCTTCCTTTCAGACCCAGGACTGCTTCACTGCTTCTTTATGTGTCTATTTTGGGATGGTTTCTGGGTAAACCTTTGCGTAGAAGGGCTCTTGTATATGTCAACTCTTAGGTTCTCAGAGCTGGAAAGAACTGAAGTTCATCGAGTCAGAAAATAATTTATCCCATCTGACTATATTTTTACACCTCTTCTGAGTCACCTGAAATGCTTTCTCAAAGAAGGTGGGTCTAAGTCAATACAATAAAGAAAAAAGAGTAAGGGACTCAGCATAGGTTATTCACTTTCGGAGAGCCGAGGAGCTCTGGGCAGCTGGGGTGGGAAGGCAAAGGTGGGCGGGACATGGTCACATAGCGAGATGTGACATGGACCCCAAACAGGGCAGGGCCCCATGGGAAACCAGACGACAACAGCGAGGCAGGACTGTAGAAGATAGGAGAGCTGGGGGGGCTCAGGGTGACATCACAGATATGCAAATGAGCTGCATGAGGGACCATGTAAAGTCCCCCACCTGCCTAAGAGGCCCAGCCAATACAGGATGACCCTCACTGACCGAAGTCCTCTTCTGCCCAGCACCCGCAGCTTCCATGGGAGTCCCTTCTCCCGCCACCCACGGCCTCCCCAGGGTCCGGCTGAGGGCCAGGCGACTGGGTCAGCATAGAAAAACAGGAGACAGGATTCTGCGGAGATGGGAAGTTTTCGAACCCCTGGGGGTCACACTGGGATCCAGGCTGAGGTGGCCACTGAGGAAGGGGACGGCGCAGGTGCCCAGGGCAGGCAGGCAGTGACCCCCGAGAGGGATACCGATGGGAGTTTCTACCCTGATCCAACCAACCACAGACCCTCTCCCTTGTTTTTAGGAATGCCCACCCACCCACCTAAGGAAGCGTGACCGTCCCACCCGCCTGCAGGACACTTAGCCTGGAACGGAATGCCCACCATCCCCACTTTAAAGCCCCCTGAAGTAGGGTTACAATTGGAAACTGCCTCAAAGTGGCCTTCAAAGCATAAGATGGTAGCTCGGGGTTAAAAGGACTCTTATATGAAGACATTGTAAACTTCTTTCTCTTTTTTCTTTTTGGGGACACCTTTTTCTCTTTCTTACAATTCGAGGTGAGGAGGAGAATTTTGTTCCCCTTATGGTGCAGCCGTCCTTTTGTGCCATCAGCAAGGTTTTCTCGTGCCTCCAGCCAACACAAACCCGGTGCGTTGTGGTCTATTTTGCTGACTGCCCCGGGACAGCCCCTGCTCCCTCCCGGCATCCTGGGGAGCCCCATGTCACCCAGACACACCCAGGAAAAGAAAGCGCTGCCGAGAAGTGGTTTCCAGCTCCGCTCTCAACAATTCTCGGATTCAGCTATCCTCAGCAAAGGGACTTTTCCAGAAGCTCCAAAAGGCTCACAGGAGGTTTTATTTTGTTTTTCAACAATTACCAAGGAAAAGAAAAATAAATCAACCTGAGTAACAGCAGAAATCCCTACTCCCTGAAACCCTGCAAACCAGTGAAAACGGTCCACACTCTCTCACAGGCAGGACATACCCGGCCCCAGAGCTGCAAGGTCCAGAGCTGGTGTAATTGGCCTGGTGGACATTTTCTTTCGCTCTGCGCAATTCCCCGAGCCTGTTCCTCATTGAACAGACTTGCTCATGAGTTAAGGTCTTGAAATTAAAATATATGGATCCCCAAGGGCAGCTTTCAAATTACCTAGTCGGAGTGTTACGCAACTACTGGTTTTCAACAAGCCCAGCCGAGGCTGCTCGACACCAACCCCGTGTTACTAGAGCAGCTCAGGCCTGTAAACGGGGGGCTACAGCTGGGAGGACTGTAACGGTGACTCAAGGCCCCCGACCGCTGTTAACGACCACCGCTCATAGTCCAGGGACAACATGCGAAGGGACGCGTTTAAAACTCTCCAAAGACGTCCTTCGTTAAAAATCTATTATTGTAAATGTCTGTGGTATGTGTGCGTGCATGTGTAGTGTGTGTGTTTAAAATGTGAAGTCTCCCTCATTTTCCAGCAATGACTTTCTCTTCCAAGTCATACCTGAAAGATCCCTTCTCATGGAAATATCCATTAATACAAAACCCGTTTTCCAAAATATAGAATATGCCATTGGAGAAATCCTAAAAGATCAGCGATGTGCTGATGATATTCGTTGACTGAATAACAGTTGTGAGTTGGGGTCTGGAGATGAGGTGCAGAAGTATGTCACCAGGTGGGCTGAGGCAGTGCCCCAGGTGAGTGAGGGACCTCGCTTCACTCCCAGGCCTGGGATGAGACCGGAGCAGCTGAGGACGGAGGCTGGCCTGGGGAGGGACCGAGGGGGAGGGGTGCTCCCGATACGGCCCCGGCTGCTGAGGGGAAGGTGGGCACTGTCAGCAGCCCACCCTGAGGCAGGCATGCTCCTACCCAGCCTTCCAGATAGAAGCAGAAGAGGTGCAGCGAGAGGGGCGCTTCCTGAAATGTGCTGGTCTGTGTGGGGAAAGAGGCAGCTGGCTCCAGGCTCTAAAACATCCTAGGCCACATAGTCAAAGCACCTATGGCAAAATGGAATCTACTGAGAACCAAGGCTCCAGTATTTACATTTGAGGAAACTTCACACTTGAACATTATTTCCCAAGTCATATTTTCCCCTAGGACGATGGGGCATTTGGATGGAAAGGGGGGACAGAGGGAAACTGGCTGGACTGAACTGCAGGGAAATCTAAGACTATTATGGAAGATTTCACAAAGCCTTCCAAGCTTTTAAGTGTAGCAGCTAGGTAAGATGAGGACTCAAAATGGGACCAATTAGGGCCGCAAGGGTGGCTCTGTCCGTTAAGTGTCTGACTCCTGATTTCGGCTCAGGTCATGATCTCAGGCTCTTGAGATCGAGCCCCGGGTCAGGCACTGCGCTAGGGATAGAGCCTGCTTAAGATTCCCTCTCTCCCTCTCCCTCTGCACCCCTCCCCTATCGCCCTGCACATGTGTGCTCTCTCTCTCTCAAAAAAAAAAAAAGAAAAATGGGGTCAAACATTTCAAGTTCAAAATGAATGCTAGATTTATTGGAAGCTGAACTTACAAGCTTAAGAAAGACTGGGTCTCCAAATTTTCT